TAAATTAAAAATGATTATCACTATGTCTATCCTATCCTTAGCATTATAAGAAAAGATCTGATCCAACATATCTATATATTGTTAATAGTGGTTAACTCTGTTGACGATGGTTATATCAAAGTGCAGTGGGGATTATGGAGGATTTTTATTTTATACCTTATGTTTTTTGTTTTACTAGAATATTTTTGGGGCGCCACCCAGGCGCCCCAAAAATGATTTTTTTTTAAATCAGAGGTACAAGCAGTACTTTCAGGATTAATAGGTACTTTAATGAAGTCTTTGAATCAACTTTAAAAATAAGTCCTATACATATAAATGTCATTTTCCTTTTTGAGTTTATATTAAATTCAAACCAAAAACATGAAGATTATTGATTAAACTAAAATTAACATTTCCAAGATGATGCTGAGACCATATTTATTCATTTCCCTCAAATTAACATCAAAAACAAGTAAATGTATGAAGGTTTTTCTAGGTTATTTATTCCAGCAATGCATCTCACAACGGTTTTTGTGTTTTGGTAGAGAAATAGATGCAGAAATATATTTGTGAAATTAAAAAAAAATTTTTTTAACTTGTGATTTATGAAAAGACTATTAAAGCATGGTTATCTCAGAGCATCCAAATTATGGATTATTATGGGTTATTTCTATTTTCTTATCTCCTTTCTATATTTTCCAAATTCTCCATAATCGTGAATACTTTTGCAATCAGAAAAAGGGTTTCTTTTTAAAAAAATGATTACATTAAAGGAGGTGTCTATCGATTTAATACAGTAAACCTGATCTATTTCAATGTGCTTGCATTTTCTATATGACATCCAGTAATTCTGTTTCCCTCAGTGGTTGAAGTTTGCAGACGTTATTTATAAACGAGGACCAAATGACTTGTATTATGATCACATTGGTCCCCATCTCTCTCCAGAATGACAAAGCAAGGTCCACTGAGCACAACCTGACAAGCAATGTTTTAAATGCCATTGCTAAAACAACTACACAGGCTTTTCATCAGACTTCTACAGAACCACAAAGAAAGGTCAAAGCAAAGAGAAGCTGTTAGAAAAACGTCAGCCTCATATACCTTCTCATAGCCACAATCACATGGTATGAAGCAAATATTTTTAGGTTACAGAGAGAAAAATTGAAACTGCAGCTTTGGTGTGCAATGGGATGTACAGAATGAGAGAGAGAGAGAGAGAGGAAGGTTTTTTCATGACAATTAAAGTTTTCATGCAAAGGGTTTGGGATCCTGGGATGAAAGTTCAGTAAATACTGGAGGACATGCACATTGTACAACAGCATGTCATAATTATAGTTTGCTTTCAACCATCTGAAGCCTTTATGTGTTTTCTGGTTTTAGCTTCTAAGCCTTATAAATTATTTCTGACTCATCAGCCTTTCACCCTAGGGGCAACTCACAAGCTCCATAAAAATGTAGATATTTTTCTTAAATCTCTTTTCTAGCAAATGCATTTGTTTTTAGCCTCAGAACGTAAATTCCCACAATGAAAAGCAACTAAATAATACTTGTCTCCCTCTCTTATATGCCCCTTTTTCTAGAAACGCCCATTTATAATTAAAAGCACATATCTGAAGATCAATCCTTCATTATGACTGGAAACCTGAAGCTGAGGAGAGAGTTGGGAACAGGATAGTGTAAATGCTACTAGTGGGCCAGAGCACCCAACCTCGGCCCAACTGACACCTTGGGCTGGCTAGTTCTTTATTGTGAAGGGGTGCCCTGTACATTGTAGGATGTTCAACAATATCCTTGGCCTCTACACACTAGATAGATGTCAGTAGTGCAGAACTCCAATTCCGCAAACATGACCACCACAATATCTCCAAGATATTGCCAAATATCCCTAACAGACAAAATCAATCCCAATTGAGAAACACTGCACTAGGCTAAAAACCTTACAAAACCAAATTCTCTGTGTCTTTGCCAATTCAAATTGTTCTTTTGACCCTACAGTCAATTTCTACATACCTAACTCCCTACCAACATAAAATACAGACACTCACAAACACCTTCACACTCTTTGTGTCAAAGCCCTTGAACATTGTCTAGAGTTTTGCCTTTGAGCTGTATGTGGCCAATTTGGCTAGGAGGAGAGAAACAGGCAGTGGTGACTTTCCCACCCTTCACTGACATGGGCGTTCATGCTTGTCACTTTTAATGTACATAAGTTCATGGTGTCTTGACTTCTGAAGCTTGTAAATGTCCCCAGTTGTGTTTTTTTTTTAAATCTGCTAGTCACACTCTATAACCCCAGGCTCCCCATGAATATTATTTCAACCACAGTTTTATTTAATTAAATATGTTTATTCTGCCTTGAAGTTCTCTCACTTTGCACTTAAATATGCAATTGTGATCTAGGCTCAATATGTTTATTTCCTGAAACAATCCTCAATTAGAACCAGCTAATTAAAATAGAGGAAGGGATTTATAGAATAAAAGAAGCACTTCCCAATTCATTCCTCAACAAGGCAACACATATTAGCTCGTATAAATTGTATTTTTATGCCTCTTAATACATTTGAGGGATGTTTATTCTCCCTACTTCAAGTTATCTGATGTTTGAAGCACCAGGGAAGACGGAGGGAGTGACTTCCTCTATGGAAGAAACATTATTAACAAATCCTTCTCTATGGAAAACTCTGACAGGTGGATTTACCATTACTAGATTCCTAATCTTGAGTAAGCACCTTAGTCTCTGCTGGCCTGTTTCCTTTTTGGTAAAATGAGAATGATGATGCCTATCCTCTAGGGCATGTTGAATGAGATCACCTGTTTGAAGCTCTTAGTCCTATGCCTGACATAGAGATGTTTTATTAATGTCATTTCTATGCCACTTCTCTTCTTTGTTCCTAGCACCAGCTAAATAATTTGTGAGGTACAATGCACAATAAAAATGAGTGCTCCCTTGCTCAATTATTATTAAGAATTTCAAGATGACAACAGCAGAACGCTAAACCAAGCACAGGGCCCTTCTAAGCATGGGGCTATCTCTGTATTACTGTAAAAGTTGTACACTCAAAAAGCCAGCCCTGGGGCACCTGGGTGGCTCAGTTGGTTAAACCAACTTCGACTCAGGCAATGATCTCAAGGTCTGTGAGTTGGAGCCCTGCGTAGGGCTCTGTGCTGACAGCTCAGAGCTGGATTCTGTGTCTCCCTCTCTCTTCACCCCTCCCCGACTAATGCTCTCTCTCAAAAATGAATAAACATTAAAAAAATTAAAAAGTAAATAAATTTTAAAAAGTTAAAAAAAAGCACCAGCCCTGCTTGCTCCCTGAGGGTTTTTGAGTTCCATTTATCTATTCTACTAAATTAAAAGCCCCTCTTCATTTTGACAATTGACAGGGAAATAAATGTAACTAACCAGATAGGGCTTGATTGCGTGTGTTGTTTTTCTTTTTTTTTTTTTAATTTTTTTCAACGTTTTTTATTTATTTTTGGGACAGAGAGAGACAGAGCATGAACGGGGGAGGGGCAGAGAGAGAGAGGGACACACAGAATCGGAAACAGGCTCCAGGCTCCGAGCCATCAGCCCAGAGCCCGATGCAGGGCTCGAACTCACGGACCGCGAGATCGTGACCTGGCTGAGGTCGGACGCTTAACCGACTGCGCCACCCAGGCGCCCCAGTGTGTGTTGTTTTTCAATGATGGCTCACTTTTGCTTAAGCTGTTGAGTGTTACTGAGCCTAGAGCTGTTAAAAAGGAGTTATTTTAATCTGCCATGGCATTTCAGGGGTTTGTATCATTCTCAATATGGGGGAATTAAAAAAAAATACCTTTGTTGTCTGCAAGTAATTGGACCCCTGATGATAGCCCAAGAGGCACTTAAGGGCCGAAGAGGCACTTAAGGGCCGAAGAGGCACTTAATTGAAAAGCTCTTTATCTACAGTTATAAAATGGTATTCACAAAGAAAGCAGCATAGCTGTAAATATTTTAGATCCTACACTGGAGAGTTTTAGAGAACTGGTCCAGATGTCTAAGGGTAAAATACCCAAAGAGGAAGACTTGGTCTTCAAACCACTGAACCCCAGTTCTGACCGTTACTCTTTCTTTAAGGATGCATCAGCATGTCCTTTAAAAGGTTTGCAAGGTTCACACATCCTTGACAAGTGTCAAGGTTCACTTGTAAGATCGAAATTCTGTTAAAAAAAAAAAGGCAAAATGTGTTTGTAAATATATGTATAAATATGTACGTACACACATAAAAATTTCCAAATTTCCTCTTATGGAAAACACACACACACACACACACACACACACACACACACACACACACACACGCAGAGGCACACAAGCGTCTTAACAGAAAGCAAAGATGACTATCATTTATTGAGCACCCCTGTGTGTCAGGTGTTTTACATGCATTGGAATACTAAACTATTTCATTCACTTATTTAATCTCTAGACACTCAAGGCAACGGTCCCCCCCAACAGTGGAGAAACCGAAGCTCAAAGGAGTTATGCAACCTGCCCAAAGTCAGAAAATTAGCAAGTTTGGAGGCTCTGGTTTGGAAATTTTATCTGATTCCAAAACTTCATGTATCATGATCCTATTCGCTTTAGATGATTAAGAATTCAGGGATCCAATTTGTCAGTGTCTTTGAATCAAACAACGAACAAAATGCAACAATATTTAACATACTTGCTAATCATGTCAGTTCACACAGCCCCCTTGGTTTTACCATAATTCCCACCCTTTCTCTTAGCCCCCATCACCACGAATCGTTCAGTGTCTTAAGTGTTACCAGTTTTGCTTGTAACAGTTATCGAGAGAACAGGCTGGCCCCAGTTAAGATAAAAAAAGTTAAAATTTGTGGCATGGGACTAACTCCGAAGACCTCGAGAAAAAAAAAAAAAAAAAAGAGCTGTTTGTGACGGTAATCCCTCACTTCCGGCCTCAACCTGGCGAGAAGCAACCTCAGCACGTGGGACCAAACGATTCCCAGGCCGCGCGTTCCTCCGGGCAACTGGCTGGTCGGCCCGTGCTGCGCAGGCGCCAAGGCCGAAGCGACTGGGGGCGGTCGGCCCCTGGTTTCCCTGGAGACGGGGCGGAAGCGGCTGGAAACTGCGCTGTCGTTGGCCGCGGCAGGATGGAGAAGCTGGGGGTGGAGCCCGAGGAGGAAGCCGGCCGCGACGAGGAAGAGGACGCGGCTAAGGCCATGGACCGGGCGGAGGCGGGGGAGGCAGGCTGCTCGAGCGATGCGCCGGTGCCTGAGGAGCCTGGCGGCGTCCCTTGTTGTAAATGAGAAGGGCGGGGCGGGCGGAGGCCAGGGGAGGCGGCGGCGGCCGTTGGGGCGCGACAGTCCCTGCCTCGCTCTGTTCCTTTCGTTTTCACGGCTTGGTAGAGAGAGCTGCCCTTCGTTACCTGCTGTTTACAGCTAAGGAAGGGATCGGCGAATCAGTTTGTTATTCCAGGGTGCATTTGTGATCCCTCAAATAGCCGAAGAGGCGCCGGGGCTGAGTAAGGTTGCAGAAGTAGAGAACCTTGTCGCCCACTTGGCGGAGGTTGGGGCTATGTTTTGGCTCGGCACCGAAAACGAGGCACATCTGCAGTGGCCATCTCTTCGAGGACCCACTTTCGGCCTCTGGAAATATAAGGGCTCTGCCTTGTACTGCCCAACCCCAGGGCCTGAGGCCAAGGTTCTTCCTTGCCCCCTTCTGCGCCCCCGTTTGACTTTTAATTTTTGGAATTAATTTTAGACTCACAGAAGTTGCAGAAGCGGCTTTCCCTATTGTTAATATCTTATGTCACTTATGTTGATATCTGATGTACATATGTCAAAACTGAGAAGTGAACACTGGCATAATACTGTTAAGTACAAACGCTATACAGGGTTTGCCAGTTTTTTCCACTTAGTTTTCTGTTCCAGTATCCAGATCAGAATACCACATTGCACTTAGCCTGCCTCGTTTTTAATTGGTTAAGAGCCGGAATCTCCTCTCTCATCCCCCAACGCACTCCATGACCTGAGCTACTTCTTCAAATTCAAGAAATATTTACTCATTCTTTTAATTTAGAGAGTATTTATTGGTAGTCTGTTATATGCCAGGCCCTGTCCTAGATACTGGGGATTCAGCATTGAACTAGATAATCCTGCCCTCATATGGGTGCTAGATAAAGTCTACTGGAACCCATAGGTCTGAATTCTGCCCTTTTGTATTTAACGATTCTTTTTTTTTTTTTTTAAATTTAAGGACATGCCACATAGGATAATTTTTTAAGCTGGTTGAAATCAGCATTAAACTTACCTATCCCTTGCGATTTAATCTAAACTTTATTATAAATTTCCAGGTGATAGGATTACCTCTTTCATCTTCCATTATCGATTCTTTTCCCTCTCAAAAGTTATTTCTAGCCTGAGAAAAATACAGTGCACAAAGAAATACTAAGTACGCAGGACTGAAGATCCTCCTATAGATGGAGTTTCTCTCGTGTCGGTAATTTTTAGATGCTTTGACACATAAATCTAGGAAGAAACTTAAAATCATTCTTCATTCTTCCTTCTCAGTTACCATGTCTTAAGGGACTGCCAATTGCTCAGAGATGATAAGCAGCCTGAATATATTTTTCTGTTTCTTTGCATATTGTGCATTGGTTCATGGTCAAGTGGTGCCAGAAGGAGGTTCTTCATCCAGAGTCATAGTGCATGTGGATCTGGATTGCTTTTATGCACAAGTAGAAATGATATCAAATCCGGAACTGAAGGGTAAACCTTTAGGTAATTCTGGACATTGATAATATTTTCATTTTGTATAAGAGTATTAGCTATGTTGATTATATTCTGGTTTATTAACCATATTAAAGATTTTGGAAGCAGTTCTTAAGGTACTTCATAGGCAGTAACTTGGCTTCTCTAGTAGGTGTAAAATTTCTAAGCCTCATTTAATAAATGATGAAAATGATGAATTTTACACAAGTAGTGTATATAGCCAACTGAACACGTAAACAGAAAGTTCATAAGCTATTAGTCTTTTTCTCAATGGTTAAAATTTAAAAATGTCTTATTACATTCTAATGACATTTTCACCTACCCAACCACCTTTTGATTTTGACTCTTGAACTGTGTAACATGACAAAATAGTTGGATTTTGAACAGAACCCTAAATACTTGAGGCATATAGAGTGTAAAATTTTCCTAAAAATGCAGGTATCTTTTAAAATAAAAGGCAAAGAGGGATTTTATGTGGAGGGTTTACTTGTATATGTTGGCTTGTTTTAGCATTTCTATTACATGTATGTCTTAAATTGGAAAAGTCATTTAAATTTCCTAAAATTTCTTTTATGCATGTAGTAAGAATTTATCTTTTAGTATAAGTGTAAAGAAGTGTAAAGAACAATTCTGGTTCACCAGCTGCTAACCTCTTGTGCCTAGGTTGTGTTTGATAAATCCCAATTCATCCCAGCCTACTTGATTTACTAAGGAAGAACAAAGGGATGACTAGTTTTTGGTGTGCCAGTATCAGTCTAGGGTTTTTAATCCTGAGGGATTAATCATTCATTCTTAGGGTGTCAAGGAATTAGGATTAGGGGCTATAAAATTTTCTGCTAAAGTCATTTCTAATTAGTAGCAGTGTACCATAAGATGCTATGTAGGTAATGCTTAATAAAAAAGTATAGTATAATTAAAACACAGGGATGAATGATTATCTGGAAGTGAGAAATGTGATGCTGAAAGTTTCTGGGAGAAAGGGAAAGTAGTCTTTCAGTTATACTCAACAAATATGTGACTATTTAACTTGGGCTGGTAACATATAGTAGTAGTGAGTCCATATAATTTAATTCTGTATTAGGAGACTACTTTTTAAGTTAAGGAACTTACCAGTCTGATTTTTATATAGCTCACTGATGAATCTTAAATCACTACTTTTGACCCAGAGCTTCTATTGTGGATAATCGGATATGTCACAAATCTTTATATGAAATAACGTTTCTTTGCCTTGTTTCTAATATCAAAGTTTTAGAAACAAATGTCTTACGTTGGTGGAGTGGACATAATCTTTTTTTTCTTCTACATGTTTGTGTTTTAATGAACACTACTTTTACAGTGGTAAACAAATGGTCAACTTGTGTAAAGAGAAAAGTAATTTCAGCAATCTTAAGCCACCACTAGTAAACGAGAATTTGTGTAGTCTGTAGATGGTCATAATTTAGTCATTTTTGATAAGGAGGGGTCCCATTAATGATGCCTCACTGCCTTATCTTTTCGGCAAATTACTCTGGGGAACAGTTTAGTAATTGCAACATTTATTGGGAGGAGATCCTTCATGCTTGTTGTAGGTTGGCACTTAGAACATCGCTTTATAGTCATCGGAAAGTTTTTCTAGCAGAAACCAGTGATTAATTGTACTCAGTTATTTTCATCTGCTTTATTTTTTGGTGAAACATAGCCTAGACCTATATAAAGAGTTAATTCAGTATAAATTAATCTGGTTTCATATTGTCTGAAAAAAAATCCCTAGGAGGATTTTGTTTCTATCTTTTTGCTGAAGACTCCAGACAATATACTGATTTACTTTTAGTTTTTAAATGTTTATTTATTTCGAGAGAGAGAGAAGAGAGCAGGGTAGGTGCAGAGAGAGAGGGAGAGAGAATCCCAAGCAGGCTCTGTGCTTTTAGCACAGAGTCCAATGCGGGGCTTGATGTCACGATTCTTGAGATCATAACCTGAGCTGAAATCAAGAGTCAGATGCTTAACTGACTGAGCCACCCAGGTGCCCTGAGAATATACTGATTTATGATAATTTTTGTTAATTTTATTTATAGAACCTTGGTGAATGGAGGCTATATTTAAAAAAAAAAATTTTGGGGCGCCTGGGTGGCGCTGTCGGTTAAGCGTCCGACTTCAGCCAGGTCACGATCTCGCGGTCTGTGAGTTCGAGCCCCGCGTCAGGCTCTGGGCTGACGGCTCAGAGCCTGGAGCCCGTTTCCGATTCTGTGCCTCCCTTTCTCTCTGCCCCTCCCCCGTTCATGCTCTGTCTGTCTCTGTCCCAAAAATAAATAACGTTTATTTATTTTTGAGACAGAGAGCGTGAACAGGGGAGGTGCAGAGAGAGAGGGAGACACAGAATCTGAAACGGGCACCAGGCTCTGAGGTGTCAGCACAGAGCCGATGCGGGGCTCGAACTCACAGATCATGAGATCATGACCCGAGCCGAAGTCGGACACTTAACCAGCTGAGCCACCCAGGTGCCCCGAGGCTATACTTTTTAACCGAATAGCACTTTTTCGTTTTAATCAGAATAGATTTCATTACAATTTAAAATTATGGTTGGGGCGCCTGGGTGGCGCAGTCGGTTAAGCGTCCGACTTCAGCCAGGTCACGATCTCGCGGTCCGGGAGTTCGTGCCCCGCGTCAGGCTCTGGGCTGACGGCTCGGAGCCAGGAGCCTGTTTCCGGTTCTGTGTCTCCCTCTCTCTCTGCCCCTCCCCCGTTCATGCTCTGTCTCTCTCTGTCTCAAAAATAAATAAAAACGTTGAAAAAAAATTAAAAAAAAATAAAATTATGGAATTAGTAAATAATATATTAAGATTTTCTTTAATCCTGTTCAGTTTTCTCATAAAATGTTTACTTTTTATAGGGGTTCAGCAGAAATATTTGGTGGTTACCTGCAACTATGAAGCTAGGAAACTTGGAGTTAAGAAACTTATGACTGTCAGAGATGCAAAAGAAAAATGTCCACAGCTGGTATTAGTTAATGGAGAAGACTTGACACGTTACAGAGAGATGTCATATAAGGTTACAGGTACAGATTATGGGCAATACACTTTCAGCATTAATTTGTATATGGGATGCCCATTCACTACATGAATCTTTTAATACATAAAATGCCATAAATCACTTTCTTTTTTGCTAATAACTTTTATTTTGGCTCTTGACTGCTTTAAAAAATATAGAAGAGGATGACTTTTTATGTTATGAGTAATCTTGACAGAAAATGTATAGTTGTAAGAAATTTGGAGTCTGTCGTGATTGGTGTTTATAAAAATGCAAGAAAAAATGTAAAGCAAAATTTGGAAATGAGAAAATGGAAAGATATACCAAAGCAAGTAAAATTTTTTTAAAAATTTTAATTAAATTATTTATTTTGAGAGAGAGAGAGAGAGCCCGCGAGCAAGTGCACAAGCAAGGGAGGGGTAGAGAGAGACGGAATCCCAAGCAGGCTCTGTACCATCAGCGCAGAGCCTGATGCGAGGCTTGAACTCACGATCAGTGAGATCATGACCTGAGCCAAGATTAAGAGTCAGATATTTAATCGACTGAGCCACCCAGGTGCCCCTCAAATATTTTTCATTTTAAATTTAAAACCAAGTTTAAATGAATTATGCATATGCTGTACTCTAATGTGCTAACAGTTGGGAGAGGCTTCTGAATGTTTGATTAACATAATTAAACACCGATTTGTTAAGAACTATTAGCAAAAATAATGGGTATCTTATTAATTTTTTCTTGGATTTTATACATATATATATACTAAATACTACAATATAGGCAAATTCCTCCATACTAAGGTTTGGGTTTGAATCTTAGAGTTTTAGTAAATTATAGCAACTGTGAAATATATTTGTACTGGCATACCGCAAATATATGTAATTTAAAAATGTATAAGAACCAGCTGTTTATCTTTTCTGCTGTTGTTTTTGCTTGTTCTTAATTGTAGCAGTTTTCAGATGAATGTGTTAAGTATAATATCCAAAAGCCCTTACAAATATACAAGGAAAAGATACTTCAGAAAAATGGACAAAAGATATGAATAGGCAATTGACAAAAAGAACAAACCCAATGTCCACAATTATGTGAAAAAAGAATACTCAAATTCATTAGTGGCTCAGGAAATTTGAATTAGTAAGATTATTTTATGTCCATCATACTTGCAAAAAATAATGTGAGAAAAAGTAGAAACATAAAGTAGTACAGCATTTAAAGAAGAAATACAGAAATGTTTTTTCAAATTAAAGATACTATGTTTTTTAACCCTGTGATATTACTTCTGGCAATTTATCCAATAGAAATAAAATCATGAGAACATATGTACAAAATATGGTAGCATGGTTTGTAATTGGTAAAAATATGGAACAAAAACAAATGCTCATCAGGATGAGAATGGCAATAGAAACTAAGACTTCTCTATGATGGAATATTATATAGTCATTAAAAAGAATGCATTGGTGGTATACTATTTGATTCCGAGAGATATTCCTTGTTGAGTAAAAGGTATGTATGTCTATATATAAACAGGAAACGAGGGAAACAAGAGGATATATACTAGGTTTTTAACTTAGTTAACTTCTGGAGAGGAAGTGGCAGTGGTGAAATGGGAGAAAGGGGGAAGAAAGGATAGCTAAGCAGAAAAGACAAGCCTATACTCCGAAAATGTCGCTTGTACATCTACGCAAAATTGTGTGTATATGAATATTAAGATAATTTTTAGTGTACACAGAAGAGGTTATGCATCGTTGTGCCTCTTCATGTAACTCTTCCTCATTCTTTTCTTTTTTTTTTAAATTTTTTTTTTCAACGTTTATTTATTTTTGGGACAGAGAGAGACAGAGCATGAACGGGGGAGGGGCAGAGAGAGAGGGAGACACAGAATCGGAAACAGACTCCAGGCTCTGAGCCGTCAGCCCAGAGCCTGACGCGGGGCTCGAACTCACGGACCGTGAGATCGTGACCTGGCTGAAGTCGGACGCTTAACCGACTGCGCCACCCAGGCGCCCCTTCCTCATTCTTTTCAATACCTGTGCAGTACTACATTGTATTTTGTTCCGTACTTACTTAACCTGTCCTTTAGGGATATGAAGACAGTATGTCCCACTTTATTCCTATTGTCCTATTATTAATAGCACCTCCTTTCATTCAAAAAATTTCTTATTTTGGAAGATAAAGTACATGGTTTCCTGATAGTGATAGATTATTAGGCTGTTAACTAACTTTTTGCTCTTCCTAATATATGCTCCAGGAGACTTTTTCATATAGAAATTCTGTCATACTTTTATGGAGATACCCATAGCGTAAGTTCTTAGAGGTAAATTTCTAGATCAAAGGTAAGTTGCACTTAAAATTTTGAACACTGCTGAATGTTGCACTTGAGGTTTTCCTAGCACATTGCTAGTATATATGGATGTTACATATTCTCAAACTGTAAAGATTTTGCCTGATAGGTGAAAAAAATAGTCATTGTTTTGATTTGAATTTTTCTATGACTAAGTTTGAACATCTTTTCATATTTTGGTCATTTATACATATATTTTCTGTGAATAACCTATAGGGCCTGATTTTCATTTGGATTGCTCTTTTTTTTCTAATTGGCCTATATCATTTTTTGGAAGTTAAAGAAATTAGCTCTTTGATACCCATGTATTATAAATATATTTCCAATTTGCATTTTACCTTTTAAAATTTATTTATGGTGTCAGACTTACCGGTCTTTCCCTTATTACTTTTGTGCCACTGTATTTTTTCATCCTTTTCATAATTAAAATGTCATACTGGAAATTTAGTTGGTAAGTCTGACTTTTTATACTGATTCTTAATTTATCAAGTATCTTGAGAGAATTAGACATGCACTAACATTGGGGTACCTGGCTGGCTCAGTCAGTGGAGCATGCGACCCTTGATCTCAGATTTGTGAGTTAAAGCCCCATGTTGGGTGTAGAGATTAGTTACAAATAAGATCTTTTAAAAAAATGCATAATATAGTAACAAATATCCTGGGGGCACCTGGGTGGCTCAGTTGGTTGTGCGGCCGAATCTTGATTTCAGCTCAGGTCACGATCTCATGATTCATAAGATCCATCCCCACCTCAGCTCTGTGCTGTCAGCATGGAGCCTACTTGGGATTCTGTCTCTCCTTCTCTCTGTCCCTTCCTTGTGTGTGGGTTCTCTCTCTCAAGATAAATAAACTTAAAAAAAAACAATTCTAAGCATGATTTGTGCATTAATAAAAAGTAATTTTGTTAATTTTTCTCATAGTATTTTTTGAGTTGAAGTAGGAACATAGCTTAATAGTCCTATGCTGAATTTATCCCTGACCTATTTATAACGTATCTTATTGTTTCATATTTTTCTAAAATATGTATATGTTTTTGTCTAGATAGTTTTTTCTCTAATTACAAACTCCTGTCTTTGGCCTTACATGTTTAGTAAATGCATCATATTTATGAAGTTGCCAGCAAAAAACTATTAACTTCAGAAATGGGATAAGTGATTTATCCCTGTGACCTAATAATAGAACCCATATAATCAATCAGTTCAGTGATTCACCAGCTTTGTGCATGATTCTTGTGTTTAATTTGCTTTTCTGCTTAGTATTTAAAAACTTGTCCTTGGGGCGCCTGGGTGGCGCAGTCGGTTAAGCGTCCGACTTCAGCCAGGTCACAATCTCGCGGTCCGTGAGTTTGAGCCCCGCGTCGGGCTCTGGGCTGATGGCTCGGAGCCTGGAGCCTGTTTCTGATTCTGTGTCTCCCTCTCTCTCTGCCCCTCCCCCGTTCATGCTCTGTCTCTCTCTGTCCCAAAAATAAATAAACGTTGAAAAAAAAAATTAAAAAAAAAAAAAAAAAACTTGTCCTTTAGTTTTCTTATGTAGTATATACTTTCGAAAAAATTGCAGAAATTGATGTACGAAATGCAAAAGAATCCTTTTATGTGATCAAAAACATTGTCAGTCTCAGGACAGATAGTTTTCTCTAGGTAGAGTGGAAGTGATTTTTGGTGGTCACTGGGTCACATTATCTTTATTAATTGTTTTCTCATGATATTATCAAGTCGGCATCAATAAAATAGAGGTATTTTTAGTATTTATGTAAAAAAGCGATCTGTCTGGAATGACATAGTACTTTTATTTCTGAGCTTTCATATTATAGGACTTTGAGAACCTATGCATTTAAAATTTTTTTTAGTGTTTATTTTTGAGAGAGAGAGAGAGAGAGAGAGAGAGAGAGAGCTAGCAGGGGAGTGGCAGAGAGAGAGGGAGATACAGAATCTGAAGCAGGCTCCAGGCTCTAAGCTGTCAGCACAGAGCCCGACGCGGGGCTCAAACTCATGAACTGTGAGATCGTGGCCTGAGCTGAATTTAGATGCTTAACTGATTGAGCCACCCGGGTGTCCTGCTTATGCATTTTTAAATAAGAAGAGGCTAGTAATTTGTATTCTGCCATCCTACTGGTATCAGTAGAGATTCAGAGAGAAGTGAAAATTCTTCTCAGTGATTACAGAGTTATTAGTTTTAATCCTAAAAAGAATTAATTGTCCTTTTGAATTTATTTCAAATCTTGGTTCACTTCAGTTTAGCAAGCATTTGACTTAAGGACAGGGTATTTGCTAGGTGGTGGACATTCAAATACATGTAAATCATGGTCCATATCTACCCTTGAGGAAGAAGCTGGGGGATGACTGGTCAAAATCTTACATTGTAGTATATTTTGAAAATTAAGTGACTTTTCTTTTTGATTCAGTAATAATTGGAAGTTTTAAATTTTGTCTTTTTAAAACTCTTGTGGAAAATATAGTGGAGTATATTATTACTTGTTTCTGCTTTTCTAGGCTGACTGTAATTTATTCTTTTGACCCACTGTTTCAAGATCATAATGAACGATAAGCATTAATATTTAATGTACTACAGGTATAGAAATTTTAGGTATAGGAGATTGAGCTAAATCTATTGCTGTGAGCATCTGCCCAGGGAATGTCATTTTGGACTTACTTTGTTGGAAAATATTGCCTTTACTCAAAATGTGGTACAGAAGAAACTCCCAGTTAACTGAGGACTTTTTAAAAGATATTGTGGAAGGGTGAAATCTTTAACATACCTGATGTATTTTTAAGCATAAAATAGTTACATCTATTTTAGTTATGGCCTTAGTTAACATCTGTGCACCACTATTATTTCAATTTAGAGTTGTTGGAAGAATTTAGTCCAGTTGTTGAGAGACTGGGATTCGATGAAAACTTTGTGGATCTAACAGAGATGGTTGAGAAGAGACGACAGCAGCTTCAAAGTGGTGAACTTTCAGCACTGACGGTGTGGGGTCATGTATATAATGAGCAGTGTAAGTCAGTTCTTTATTTAGTAACTAAAAGTGCCTACCTTTCTTAATGTTCACTGAGTTCACTGAGCTTAATGAATGGACTTTATCTTTCTGAAAATTTTATGTCTTTTGTTGGAGGTATAGCCAAGTTTCAGTGGTCTGCCTAAAATGATTAAAATCAGGTGTTCCATGTTAAGAAGGCAGAAAATGAGATTTTGGTGACCTGTAGCTCAGTGGTCCGTGCACTTTTCATTTCTCTGACACAGTTTGTGTGTTATTGTTTTTAAGGGCCATACCTTTTTCAGTTATAAGAACTGCCTTGATAGTCTATTTTTTATTCTCCTAAAACTGTCTTTAAGCAAATTTTGAGGTAAACTAAACTTGTCTTTTTGCTTGTTCCTTCTATTCCCCCAGGCATCAAGACACTCATGTTGCTCTTTGACTTCCTGATTTAACCCCCATGGAAGCTTGTCCAGGCCTACCGGCCATCTTTTGCAAGCTCACATTCAGTCAGTTCGATAATCTTTGCCAGCTGTTAGCAAGAAAGCAGAATGGTCCATCTCCTTCACATATTAAAGTGTGAATGACTGATGGTGTTTCCAGAGATATTTACATTTGAAAATAAGCATCAGCAAGCCCCAATGAATATTGTAACTCTGCTGGTGACTTCTATATCATGCCACATGGAAGACACACTACTCTGCATTTGTAGATTTGCCCTGACCTTCTTGCCCCTATATCTCAGCATGTGTGTCCTCTTAGTCTAGTTCCCTGCCTCTCTGATAGTAAAGAAAAGGAGGTAGAGCTATAGCTCTCTTCTAGAAGAGAACACGAAGCTTTTCATGTGTCTTTTGTACCTGTGCTCTGTTGTCACTTATAAGGACTGAATAGAATAATTTTTAAAGTAAATTCAGTATTTGTTTGTACATATTACAGAGAGCTAGGCTTTATATCCTAAAAAGAAAATGTAATTCTTTATGAATCCTTCCTTTCAAGATTTTGTTAAAAATTTTTTTCTAACCTACAGAAAAGTTGACAGAATAGTACTGTGAGAACACGTATTATACCATTCCTTATAGATACACTCAGTGCTATTTTGCTACCTTTTACTTTATCTTGCTCCCCCTTTATTGATTGATGGTTGATTGATGAGCCATTTAAAAGTAAATTGCAGGTGTCGTGACACTTCATCTGTAAATACTGCTGAGAATAAGGAGTGTCTCATATAATTCTAATACCATTTTCATCCCCAAGAAAATTTGTTTCTGTATAATTTCCCTACACTTTTCGTAAAAGATCTCTCAAACTATGTACAGATTCAGAATTGTTTTCAGTAGCACATCTAGTTACTGTGTGTAATGTTTTGATTCAGGTCCTTAAAGCTGTAATCTTAGCTCTCTTATTAATGTAATACTTTTACTTTTATGCTTGCTTACAGTTAAAAATGAGTAAGTTTTACTAATATCAGTATGAATTTTTTTTAATGTTTATTCATTTTTGAGAGAGAGAGTGCGAGCAGGGGAGGGGCAGAGAGAGAGAGGGAGACACAGAATCCAAAGCAGGCTCCAGGCTTCAGGGTCAGCACAGAGCCCGATGCGGGGCTTGAACTCAACAAAAGGTGAGATCATGACCTGAGCTGAAGTCGTTCGCTTAACCGACTGAGCCACCCAGGCACCCCTTAATGATTAACAGGTTAAGAAACTTGATCTCTCATAGAAAATTCCTACTGATGGGGTGCCTGGGTGGCTCAGTCGCTTAAGCGTCTGACTTGGTTCAGGTCATGATCTCATGAGTTCAAGCCCTGCATCAGGCTCTCCACTGTCAGCACAGAGCCCGTTCGTTTCCTCTGTCTCCCTCTCTCTCTGCCCGTTCTGCACTTTTTCTGTCTGTGTCTCAAAAATAAACAATTAAAAAAACATTTGTTAATCGTTAAGCACTCCCAAGATGCATTCACTATCACAGTCACTTGGAATTCACTTCTGGTAGTTATTTACTTTACAGAATTCCTATGAAGAACAAAACAGATGAGTTAAATGGCCGGCAGTATGGTGGTGTGGTGTTGTGGGGGAGGAGATTGGATGTAGGTTAAGCCCTGTGCCTTTTTTAAACTCATTTCTAAAGAAGAAAATTGAGATTTTTTTGTAGTGACTTGTAATGACATTGGTTGTTTTTATAGATGTAAACCTACATGACATCTTGCACGTCAGACTCCTTGTTGGATCTCAGATTGCAGCAGAGATGCGGGAAGCCATGTATAATCAACTGGGTCTCACTGGCTGTGCTGGAGTGGCTTCTAATAAATTATTGGCAAAATTAGTTTCTGGTGTTTTTAAACCAAATCAACAAACAGTCTTACTACCTGAAAGTTCTCAAGTTCTCATTCAGAGCTTGAACCATGTAAAGGAAATGCCTGGTAAGACATATATATTTGAAAAGTATACATTAATTGCATTTCTTTAATTTTCAAAATTGTAGATACATGTAATTAATTCTTACAGCCTGTATCCTTGGCTCTTGGAGAAAACCCAAAACCCTAATGTTCTCTGGAGGGAATCTGGATTAGGAAATCTATGAAAGTGCTTTTCTAGTTTCACCTACTTTATTTTAGTATAGTTTGAATATGATCATGAAAGTTATAACCTGGAAACGTGGTCCTTTATTTCCAGTCCCTGCTTCATATTCTTATACTGTACACTGCATTTGGAGAGGGGCATTGGTCTTTTACTAACTCTGCTTTGGGATTATATAGAAAATATTAGGGCTACAAGGGACCTTGCAAAGCATTTAGGCCAAGTTCTTGTTTTAAAAAACTTTTTTTTTTTTAACATTTATTTATTCTTGAGAGACAGCGACAGACCGAGCATGAGCAGGGGAGGGGCAGAGAGAGAGGGAGACACAGAATCCGAGGCAGGCTCCAGGCTCCAAGCCGTCAGCACAGAGCCCGACGCAGGGCTCGAACCCACTAACTGTGAGATCATGACCTGAGCCGAAGTCGGACGCTCAACTGACTGAGCCACCCAGGCGCCCCTACCAAGTTCTTATTTTAAAGATGAAGAAGCTAGTTTTCTTGAGGCGGTTAGTGACGTATTCAGGGCATGGGGCAAATTTCTGTCTTTGAAGATCAAATACTTATGTTTTTATAGACCATTAATAAGGGATGTGTTAAACTTCATTTCTATGGCATTGCTGGGGAATAAAATGTTAGAATTCTGTGGAAATGAATTTTTAGGACAACTGAACCTTCAGATGTCGTAACTTCATATTTTTAATCCATGTATGTGTGATTACAATCGTTTTTGTTAATTCATATAGCTTGTAGTTTTCTGAGTCTGCAACAGTTAACTATGTCCGGTTGTAATAAATTAAGGACTATACTGATACAGTCATAAATAACGTTATTACTTGGCTTTATTTTTTGAGTTCTTGGATTTGTTTCTTTTTTTACAGGCTTTCTCTTCCTTATTGCCAAATTGCCAGCCCTCTTTTATTTCAGCTGTGAACATATCTGTTACTCCACTTTAAATTTTTTTTTTTAACGTTTTTATTTATTTTTGAGACAGAGAGAGACAGAGCATGAATGGGGGAGGGGCAGAGAGAGAGGGAGACACAGAATCGAAAGCAGGCTCCAGGCTCCGAGCCATCAGCCCAGAGCCCGACGTGGGGCTCGAACTCACGGACTGTGAGATCGTGACCTGAGCTGAAGTCGGACGCTTAACCGACTGAGCCACCCAGGCGCCCCCTCCTGTTACTCCACTTTAATAATTTCCCCTCCATACCAGTTGGCTTTGATTTACTTCTTTTACTGTGCAGGGAAATCAGAAGACTGTAGAATTAATTTTTTCTTTTTTTTAATTGAGAGAGGGGTGCTTGGATGGCTAAGTCGGTTAAGCGTCTGAATTTCAGCTCAGGTCATGATCTCGCAGTTTGTGGGATAGACCCTACTTCGGACTTCCAGCTGACAGCTCTCTCCCTCTCTCCTTCTGTCTCTGCCCTTCCCCCACTTACACTCTCTGGCATGCTGTCCTTCCTCCCCCCACCCCCAATAAATAAATAAATATTTTAAAAAAGAGAAAGGGGCACTAAATTACCTGAACATCTCAGGTAAGGTGATAAACTATGACTGAGTGTTAGTGCAACAACTTTTGCTAGGAGTTTTGCCAATGAGTAGATTTTTTTATTTATTTGCTTTATGGCTCTTGTATTTGGGCAAGTAAATATTGGCAGATACGACTTGTGGATAAATGTGTGATATATGCAGGAGTCAGATTAGCTAGTAAGCACATGCTAATTTTATTTAGTGACAGTCTTTCTTTGCATAAATAATAACCATGACTCTTGAATACTTCCAAAGTGTTATATAACAGGTGATAAATACTTCATTTTATTAAGACAGCATTTTTTGGTTATCTCCATATTCATTATGTTGTACTAGGGTTGTTAGGTTTTGGAAGTGGTTCATTTAAGAGACCCTGAATAGAAGAAGGACAGCCTAATTTTCAATAAAATTTAATCCTAGCACAATATTCATTATGGTATTGAAAGATGTGTTTGATGGTATTGAAAGATGTGTATTATATATACTTGAATTAGCTTTATTTTAAGGAGAAAAGCTACTATAACACTGTGTGTATTTCTTTTTTGCCTAGGTATTGGCTATAAAACTACCAAACGTCTTGAAGCTCTGGGTATCAGAAGTGTGCATGATCTCCAAACCTTTTCATCCAAAATACTAGAAAAGGAATTAGGAATTTCAGTTGCACAGCGTATTCAGAAGCTCAGTTTTGGAGAGGATAACTCTCCTGTGACACCCTCAGGACCACCTCAGGTATGTGATAATGATATTTATTGTAATTGTTGGCACATTATTTGAGATAAAGATTTCTGGTTTTAGGGGCGCCTGGGTGGCGCAGTCGGTTAAGCGTCCGACTTCAGCCAGGTCACGATCTCACTGTCCGTGAGTTCGAGCCCCACGTCAGGCTCTGCGCTGATGGCTCAGAGCCTGGAGCCTGTTTCCGATTCTGTGTCTCCCTCTCTCTCTGCCCCTCGCCCGTTCATGCTCTGTCTCTCTCTGTCCCAAAAATAAAATAAACGTTAAAAAAAAAAAAAAGAAAATATTTAAAAAAAGATTTCTGGTTTTAGTACTATGTTCTTACTATTCTAATTTGCTTACTAGGTTGAGTACATGATCACTTTCCTATGAGAAGGCTAATTTATTAGATTAGTAAATATTTTTAAATTGAATCTAAGAATTAGTATTTCAGCCTCAAGTTAGCTACCTTGATTAAATGCCTCTTAATTTTTTACAGACTTTATTGTATACATTAGCTAAAATATTTCAGTTTTTAAGAAATCTTGTTTTCTGAGTAGTCTAATGATTTAAGAAATATAGAGACAGGTATAATCACCCAGTTAACATTGATTTTTTTTTTCCTATGTGACAGGCACTTTACTAAGTGCTTTACATACCTTATTCCATTCAATCTTTACAACAAAGCTTTGAGGTAGGTAGTACTATTATTTGTTCATACCTTTTCCCTCTCCCTCATTCTTTTTTTAAGATGAGGATACTGGGGGCGCCTGGGTAGCTCAGTCAGTTAGGTGTTCAACTTCGGCCCAGGTCATGATCTCACGGTTAGTGAGTTCAAGCCCTGAGTCGGACTCTGTGCTGGCAGCTCAGAGCCTGGAGCCTGCTTTGGATTTGTGTCTTCTTCCCTCTCTGCCCTTTCCCTGCTTGCACTGTCTCTCTCTGAAAAATAATTACTCAGTAAATTGTTACTAAATAATTACAATTATCTCTCAAAAATAAACATTACAAAAAAATTGATAAGGATAATGTACTTTAGAAAGGTTAAGTAACATGTCCAAGGTTAAACTCAAATTCAAGTGCTAGGAGATTAAGAGCCTTACTGTAATCATAGAATAAAGGTTGGAGTTGGTACTAGAGCTTTTTGTTGTTGTTGTTTATCATGAGAGAGAGGGAGAGAGAGCATGCATGCGTGCGCACACACACGTACACACGCATGAGCAGGGGAGGGGAGATGGAGAATCCCGAGTAGGCTCTGTGGTGTCAGTGCAGAGCCCGAATCGGCTCAAATTCATGAACTGTGAGATCATGACATGCGTCGAAATCAAGAGTCGGACACTTAACCAAGTGAGCCTCCCAGGCGCCCCAGGTAGTAGAGCTTTATAATTTTCTTGACTTCCAGTGAACTTTCTAGTGGAGTACAGTAACTTGCAGATAAAAAGAGCTCATACAGAAGCGAACTAAATGGCTGAAACTGAGCACCAGAGGGAAGTTAGTAAAGAATGTACTGAATATTTGACATCCACGCTCATAACTGGACTTGCTTATTTGGGTTTATAGTAATCCCTATTTGTGCTTCTTTGGTAGTCCTTTAGTGAAGAGGATTCATTTAAAAAATGTTCATCGGAAGTTGAAGCTAAAAATAAGATTGAAGAACTACTTGCCAGTCTTTTGAACAGGTGATTTTCCATTTTGCCATATCATCCTATATATTCTGTGTAAAGTATATAGAAAGTATACTTGATGTTCTTAGAATTTATAGAATAACTAGAGACCGAACAGTATAAAGAGTGATCATTTATCATTGAATTTCTCTACATTATAAACTGTTGCAAATATAGGGACATATACTCTTAACTAAATTTAATCCATTTACATTAGTTTTAATTTTAGTAACATTGTGGTTATCCTTTGGATCTTAAGCTGCTCATGGTTATCTAAGAGGGTTTTATGGATATCTGGAATCTCTACACCTACAAATTTGTGATGATTGAGGTTAGGAAATTATTCAGACGAACAGTGATGGAGAGAGTGGAAGAACGCTTCTATCTCCTTTGCCTCAGACTGTGTGAAAGAAAATGGAGTCAGACAAAGGAATAGCTAAGTGGGGCTATGCGTGAGCAGGGAGAGTGAGGGCAGTGTGTGCAGGGCACTGGTCTGGAAGGACATGAAAGTGTCAGCTGGGATTAGGAGTGTACGAATAGCATAGCATAAATGGAACAAGATGTTTAGTTTCTGATGCTCCTTTCCTATCATATATCTATTTCTCAGTATTCCATACAAGAGTATGATCTCTTTGCCTCCCATTTCTTTGATTTCTCAAAGTAAGGTGTCAGGGGTCTAACACTTTTGGGTATCTGTGCTTCTGTAATGACTGTAACTATGACGAGAGAGAAAGGTTTTAGATGACTGTAAGTGTCAGTAAACTGATGAGGGAAAATTTCCTACAGCTTTGCTGTCACCTGCTGTGTGGTTCTCATGTCTTGAGCAGAGCCAGAGCGCATGGTTTGCTGCCTGGGCTGTGGCTGGCTGAATGACCCAGCTCCGGTGATATAACTCAGGCTGGGCCTGTGAGTATGCTGCTGAAACTGGGTCATCCACTTTGCTTCAGCTAAACGGAGGACTGCTGTGAAATGCCGGGCCATTGGCAAGAGTTCTGCAGGTAGAGAAGCCACAGAAATTTTACAGCCCAGAAGAATCAGCCCAGAAATGAGACTAGATGCTTTAAACCTGTAATTACCACCTATAGGTGGCTCAGCCGATTAAATGTCTGACTTTTGATTTTGACTCTGGTTATGATCTTACCATTGTGAGATTGAGCCCTATATTGGGTTCAGTGTGGAGTGCAAAGCCTGCTTGGGATTCTCTCTCTCTCTCCCTGCGGGGGGGGGGGGCCCCCCGCTATGTTTTCTCTCTGTCTCTTTCAAAATAACATAAACTTAAAAAAAAAAATTACTGTGAATTACTGAGAAACTGTGAACCGTTTCTCCTTCTCTCTGCTTGCCACTCCCTCTACACCATGGCCCCTTATTTCAGTGACTGAGATATCATACCATCTATGTGACGGGCAAAAAAATAATTGTGTTTGTGTGAATGTGTTTTTTTTCTGGAAGAGTATATGATAACTAATGGTATAGCTATGTAAGAGGTGTAAAATCATATAATTTTTTTATAACTTTTTTTAATGCTTATTTTTGAGAGAGAGAGAGAGAGAGAGAGCAAGCTCGAGCACACGCAAGTGGGGAAGGGGCAGAGAGTGAGGGAGACACAGAATCCAAAGCATGCTCCAGGCTCCGAGCTGTCAGCACACATCCCTACTTGGGACTTGAACTCACTAACCGTGGGATCATGACCTGAGCCAAAGTCAGATACTCAACCGACTCAACCACCCAGATGCTTCTAAAATCACATAATTTTTAACCCATCCTCTGGGCACTAGTTTAAGCTTGCTTAGAATATGACCTTTTCTTAATATGTCTTAATTAGTTATAGGAACCAAGTCAGACTCTTTGAATAATGACTTAGTAGAAGACACTGAACTGGAAGGTATTTAAACTAGTAATGTGTTTACAGGAACCATTTAACATATCTTATTATTTTAGTAAGGCAACAATCAAGTCTTGCGAAAGAAAAATAAGAGAAAAAATTATTTTTTACAAAAATCCAAATTTTCTAGTTCAGAATTCAATTTGAGTATGTTTAACAATGTACAATATTTGTATTTTGTGTTTGTGATTTTTAATACATTGCCATACATATAAAAAGGAAAATATTATTTTTTAATGACATTTATTCTAGTGATTAGATTTTCTGCTTTTTAAGTGAATTTTGTATCTCATTAAAACTTTTATTTTCAACACTAAAACCAAGACCATTTGAATGAAACACTTTTTAAGATGCATGTACGTGTACTTATTTTCTTAAATGTGGCATATAATTGGTCTTTGAAGTTATTACTCTAATTTGCCATATAATGGTGGTACTGTCTCCTTGGATCTTTTCAGGGAGTGCTTTTTGACAAAATTATCTCATTAAAATTTTTTTCTTTTTGTAATCCTTTTTTCCTGTGTAAAAAATCTGTCATTTTTCATGTATTTGCCTGTCAGTGAATGATTCTCTTAGTTTCTTAAATTTCCTGCTGATTTTAATATATTGCTTTCAGTTATGTTTGGATTTGAATTATAAAAATGGCTTGTTATAATTATGTAATTGTACCTTATTTCTGTTCTTTTCTGATTGCCCTCAATTCTGAGTGAGGCCTGAGAGCCTTAACATTTAAGATTTCAGAGCTTTGGTGCATAGACTTGGTGACTATTCAGACGCTTGTATTGCTTCCTGCCTAGTTATCAACTATGTTTATAATTGTTACGGTGATACTCTTAGGTTCAAAAAAAAAAAAAAAAACTTTAAGTAATACTTTTCTGATTCCTTGTTTCCACTTTCTCTTTACTTTTAGAGTATGCCAAGATGGAAGGAAGCCACATACAATAAGATTAATAATCCGTCGGTATTCACCTGAGAATCACTGTAGCCGTGAAAGTCGTCAGTGCCCTATTCCATCGCATGTAATTCAGAAGTTAGGGACAGGTTTGGGATATTTTTCTAATAATTTAATTGGCAGATTGAACTCTTCAAAAAACAAAAACAAAAACTTTGAATTAGCAATATGGCCCAAAGATGGAGAGTCTTCACAGGGAGTTAGTTAGCTATTAAATACCTTCATTATATCAGGAATTTTCACAGAACGACTTTGTTGTTTGTTGTTTTTTAATAGATAATAAAAATAAAGCTGCAGTTAACAGTGTTCCCCAAGTACAGAGAAAACAAAACTATGATAATGTGTTACATGATTCAAGATAACTTCTTTATGGGCATTTAGGTCGTTACCATTTTTTGGCTATTATGAAAAATGGTGCTATGAACATTTGCATGCAATTCATTGGGCAGATATATGTTTTTGTTTATCTTGGGTAGATTACAGAGAGTGGAACTGCTGGGTTGTATGTTAAGTTGAACTTTTAAGAAACTGCCAAACAGTTTTCTGAAGTGAGTATAAACATTTGTATTCTTACCAAGAATGCATGAAGGTTCTAGGCTTTCATATTCTTAGTGTTGTCAGTTTCTTTTTTTTTTTCTTTTGTTTAATTTCTTTAATGTTTCCAATACTAATATTTTTTCCAAAAAGTAGAGGAAACATCTCCAGGTATTTATCTAGCATTTATAATTTTCATACAGAAATGGTATATGGCATAGTGCCATAGTTTTAACATTAAAAAATAATTATTTTAAATTATAGTAAATTATAAAAGTATTCACATACATAATCATAAGAATTCAGAGTTTTACAAACTAAAATAAGAGAAAAAAGTAATTTTTTCAATTTAAATCAAAAGTCTAATTTTTTAGGACGTTTACTTCGTCATTCATTGATTTATACTAGTTGCTTTGGTATACTTTTAGGTTGGATAAGATATATCTTCTCTTTGTTATAGGGTATCTATTCCATTATTTTAGGTACACTTTCTTGAGCAGAATGTATGTATAATGATTATGTATATATAATGATATACAAATTATAGCTTTTTGCATGTTAATATAAGTTGGTGTATTTTATTATAGTCATTCTTGTGGCCTTGTAGTAGTATTTCATTGTGTTTTGGTTTTTTTTTTTTTTTTCTTTTATGGATAATGCTTTTCGTGGTCTATGTAAAAATTCTTTGCCTAACCCAAAAGTCACAGATATTTCCTCCTGTGTTTTCTTTTAGAAATGTATAGTTTTGGGGTGCCTAGGTGGCTCAGTCCATTAAGCATCCGACTCTTGATTTTGGGTCAGGTCATGAACTCATGGTTTGTGAGATTGAGCCCACTTCAGGCTCTGTGCTGACAGTGCAGAACCTGCTTGTTTTTCTCTCTTTCTTTCTCTCTGCCTGCTCGTGCATGCTCTCTCTCTCAAAGTAAGTAAACATTTAAAAAAATTAAAAAAAAAAAAAAGAAATGTATAGTTTTAGGGGCACCTGGGTGGCTCAGTCGGTTGAGTGTCTAACTCTTGATTTTGGCTCAGGTCATGATCTCACAGTTGTGAAACTGAGCCCTGCGTCAGGCTCAGCATGAAATTCAGAGCCTGCTTGGGATTCTCTCTCACTCCCTCTTTCTTTGCCACTCCCCTGCTGTGTTCTCTCTCAAAATAAATAAATAAACTTAAAAAAAAAAAGGGCACCTGGGTGGCTCAGTCAGTTAAACGTCTGACTCTTGGTTTTGGCACAGGTCATGATCTCACAGTTCGTGAGTTTGAGCTCCACGTTGGGTTCTGTGCTGACAGCCGAGAGCCTGCTTGGAATTCTCTCTGCCCCTCCCTCCCTCCCTCCCTCCCTCCCTCTCTCTCTCTCTCTCTCTCTCAAATAAACATTTCAAAAAATTAAAAAAAAATTTATAGTTTTAAGCTTTACACTTAGATCCACTTTGAGTAAATATTTTTGTATGGTGTAAGAATCTTAGTTCATTCTTTTGTATATGGATATCCAGTTGTTCCAACAGAATTTGTTAAATAGACTCCTCTTTCTCTCTTGAATTGTCATGGCACCTTTGTTAAAAACTAACTGACAACAGAAGTGTTTCTTTCTTTATATGCTTAGTCCATTGATTTATATGGTTATCCTTCTACCAGTGCTACCCTGATACTTTGTTGTAAGTTTTGAAATTAAGTAGTGTAAGTTCTCCAGCTTTGTTCTTTTTTGAAATTCTTTTGGCTATACATGATCCTGGGCTTTTGTTTGTGGGAAGATTTTAAAATAGGAATTTGATTTGTGTATTTGTTTTAAGTTTATTCAAATTTTGTATTTATTTTGAGTCAGTAATTTTTAATCTTACAGGAATGTATCCATTTCATCCAAGTTGTCTAATTTGTTGGCATGAAGTTGTCAGTATTCTTTTATTATCCTTCTAATTTTTGTAGGATCTATAGTGATGTCTCCTCTTTCATTCCTGATTTTGGTAATTCATGTATTCTCTTTTTTTCTTTATCATTCTAGCAAAGGTTTATCTGAGTGAGGCCTTATTCAGGTTTTATTTGTCTTTTCTAAGATCCAACTTTTGGTATCATTGATTTCTGTGTTGTTTTTTTACTTTCTATTTCATGTATTTTTGCCCTGTCTTTGTTATTGCCTTCTTTTTTCTTGCTTTAAGTTTAATTTGCCTTTTCCCCTCTGGTTTCTTAAGATAGATGGGGCGCCTGGGTGGCGCAGTCGGTTAAGCGTCCGGCTTCAGCCAGGTCACGATCTCGCGGTCCGTGAGTTTGAGCCCCACGTCAGGCTCTGGGCTGATGGCTCAGAGCCTGGAGCCTGTTTCCGATTCTGTGTCTCCCTCTCTCTCTGCCCCTCCCCCGTTCATGCTCTGTCTCTCTCTGTCCCAAAAATAAATAAACGTTGGGAAAAAAAAAAAAAGATGGAAGCTTACATTATTTTATACAGCTTTATTTTCTAATAATTCAAGTTTAAAATTATACATTCCTTTTAGTAGTGCTTTAGCTTCATTCCATAATTTTTGTTGTATTTCCTTTTCATTAAGGTCAAAATTACTTCTAATATCCTTGTGATTTCTTCTTTGACCCCAGTCTTGTTTAGAAATTTGTTTAATTTCCAAGTATTTGATGGTTTCCCAAATTTCATTCTGTTGTTGATTTCTACTTTAATTTCATATTGATCAGAGAACATATTTTGAGTATTTTCAGTGTTCAGATTTATTGAGTCTAATTTTATTGCCTAGCATATAGTCTGTCCTGGAAAATGCACCATTTATGTTTGAAATGAAGAGTTGAGCAACACTATCAAACCATTCTCCGTAACTAAAATGTATGGAAAACTCTACCAACGCAGCATTTTTGAATGACAATTTGTCCGGATATATAATTCTTGACAGTTTTTCCTTCCATACTGTGAATATACTATTCTCTAGTCTTCTGGTTTCCGTTATTTATGGTGAGAAAAGAGTTTTCTATTAATAGTGTTATCAGTCTCCTTCAAATCAAGAGAGAAAAACCACACAAAAATTTGCATAGAGAAAGTTTCACAAAATTATTAAACTATGATGGGGAGTGACTCTAAAGGTATAAAGAGAACTCTTTTTTTGTTTGTTTTTTAATGTTTGTTTATTTTTTGTAAGAAGGAGAGAGAGAGTGCACACATTGGGGAGGGGCAGAGAGAGAGGGAGGGAGAGAATCCCAAGCAGGCTCTGCACTGTCCTTTCAGAGGTACCCAAGGACTGAGGAAAAGTACTCAGGGAAGGACAAACTTGGAAAGGAGAGTCCCCCTACCCCTCAAGGAGAAGGTGTGGTTGCAGAACATTGGATGGTAGAGAAATCCTTTGAATTCCCTGGCCCAGAGCTGGTCCATAGTTACTGGGTGAGGAGAAAACCATCCTCTGATCTGTGGATAGCTGGTGGGCACACAGAAGGAGTTGGGATGGTGGGAGCTTGCTTACTGGTGAGGCAGTGCATGAGTTGGCGTATGCAGTGTTCATGTTGGGAGGGCTTCTGTTACCAACCTTTTAGGATGCAGGCAAGCTGAGGCCAGTGGCTACTTGTGCTGAAGAAATCTGTATTCTGCTAGTGCAAAGGTGGAAGGGATGGTGCCTGCATAGGAAGAGCTGGAGGAAGCAACCACCTAAGTCAAGGCAGTTAAGTGAGTGTGCAGAATGAGTTGGGGCACTTCCTGGTAGGTATGGTGTTTGAGTTGGTAGTGCCATGGTACATAGTCACTAAGCTCAGACTTGGGCTCGAGGTTGCTTAGGGACTGGGCATTCCACATGTGTGTGATATGGCAAGCACTATTAGATGTGCCCACGTGTACTACCAACAAACCGTGTAATGAATGGAAGCAAGAAAAATTAAATGGCAATACATCCAGGAAGAGAAGCTGCCTTTCTCCTTTAGTGGTCTTCTGGTGTTCTCTAATGACAAAACTTAGTATCATATTCAATGTAGAAAATTTTAAAGAGTCTAAGCGTTATCAGAGCAGGTACTGAAGGGTGAATTTGGAGCTGAGTTGTACTGTACAATTGTATTGTTATTCTCCTTCATGTGATGGGTCATTTGTCTCTTTGTTTTTCAGCAGTTTGACCATGATGTGTCTAAAAGTATGGAATCTTTGTGTTTTTCTTACTTGGGATTTATTGAGCTTCTTGATTCTGTAGATTAATTTTTTAATGAAATTTGTAGAATTTTAGGCTCTTATTTCTTCAAAAACTCTTTCTTGCCCTTTTTTCCCTCTCATCTCCTCTGCGATTCTCATTGTGAATATGTTGATATGCTTGATAGTGTCCTACAGATATGTGCAATTCTGTTTATTTTTTCTTCAGTCTTTTTTCTCTCCTTTTTCAGATTGGATTTCTTTTTTTTTTTTAAGATTTTTATTTTTTGAAGTAATTTCTATATCCAATGTGGGGCTCAAACTTAGAACCCTAAAGTCAAGAGTCTCATGCTCTACTGAGGCAGCCAGGTACCCCAAGATTGGATAATTTCTATTGAGTTGCCTTCAAGTTCTCTTGATTCAGCTATCCAAACCACTGTTGCCCATCTAGCGATTTTATTTGTTTTGATTACTGTAATTTTAACTCTAGATTTGCTATTCGCTTTGTTTATTTGTGTGTTTGATTCTGTTTCCTTATGAGATTCTCCTTTCTTGGTAGTCTATCATATTTTACTTTAATTCCTTAAAATAGATTTCTTTAATTCTTTGAACATGTCCATGGTAGCAGCTTTGAAGTCTGCTAAATCCAACTCAAAGTCAATTTCTATCGACTGCTTTTTCCTCCTGACTAGATCACACTCCTGTTTCTTTATGTATTGTAATATTTTGTTTGAAAAATGGACATTTCAGATAATGGGTTTTAGCAACTCTAGATTTGGGTGTTTTTTCCTGTGGGCTCCCCGCCCCCCCCCCCCCGCCTTTTTCTTTTCTAACTTGTCTGAACTTAAGCCACAGAATCTACCTCCCCTGTGATTTGTAGCGTCTGATTTCTCTGCTTAGCTTTCTTTTCCTTTTTTAATTTAAATAAAAAAAATTTATTTTGGCTTCTAGGCCACCCCTGTGTCTACATAGTTTAGTAGTTAGCCAATGACTGGTCAAAGCTTTTGCCTGAATGCTAGAGCCTGAAAGGCTTCTACCTTCTGTCAGTAGATAAGTTCATGGGTTGGAGAGCACTTTACAAAATTAAGCCATTTTCAGGGTGCCGGGGTTGCTCAGTTGTTTGAACATCTGACTTGATTTCAGCGTAGGTCATGATCCCAGGGTCATAGGATGGAGCTCTGCGCTGAGCATGGAACCTGTTTGGGATTTTCTCTCTCTCTCTCTCTCTCTCTCTCTCTCTCTCCCTCCCTCCCTCCCTCCCTCCCCCTCCCTCCCCCTCCCCCTCCCGCTGCCCCTCTCCCCAGCTTATGCCCTCTCTCTTTCTCCCTCTAAAATTAAAAAAAAAGAAAAAAAAGTGAGGCCATTTTCAGCTCTGCCTTAGGGGCTTTTATTTTCTGTAGCCCACTTGCATCTTCCGTGTATGTTGGTTGCCATTCTGTTCAGTCCCGTGTGGAGAGCTTGGGCCTTCTCTGGCCTCCCCTTCATGTGCATGCAGTCTCCCAGTCGGCTGGGTTGGGAGGAGAGCTTATCCAGTCCCTCTATGGCTCTCTCATTTCCAGATCTCCTGGGTAAATTTATGGCTGGTCCACTGATGTTTTTGCTCATTCCAGTCACAACTACAACCTCAGGCTAGAGTGCTATGCAGTTTCCCCATTTGTTTCCTACCAGGTTTATTCACTTCACTGGGCTTCTGCCTCTGCCTCAAATCAAGTCTGTCCTTTCTGGCAACAGAGCTGCTGGCTTTCACAGCCAGCCTCACCTCGCAGGATTGCTGCGTGAAGATATGAACAATCCCAGCCAGTAAGGTTGCGGTCTCGTACTTTCTTATCTAAGTTCTCAGTTCATTTGCCTTTCATTCATTTCCAGACCCTCAAAATAGCTGTTTTGGGCAGTTTTGTTCAGTTTTGTTTTTCCAGTTTTTTTAATTAGAGAAAAAGCATGGTGGGGGCGGGCAGAGAGAGACAGAGACAGAGACAGAGAGAGAATCCAAAGTAGGCTCTGCATTGTCAACCTAGAGCCCGATGCTGGGCTTGAATTCACGAACCTTGAGATCACTACCAGATCCGAAGTCGGACACTCAACTGACTCAGCCACCCAGCCACCCAATTTTGTTAAGTTTTATTACGGTTTTATGGGGAGATTTTCTTACCTCATGACACTTCCATAACCAGAAGTCCTGTATTTCAAATCTTTTGAAAACTTTAACTCATTTGTCTTAGTGTTTAGGTTGGCTCAGTTTAGTATATAATGTCAAGGTGTTTTCAATGATATCTATTTAAGATTTTAACTTTTTATTTTTTTTTTTTTAATTTTTTTTTTCAACGTTTATTTATTTTTGGGACAGAGAGAGACAGAGCGTGAACGGGGGAGGGGCAGAGAGAGAGGGAGACACAGAATCGGAAACAGGCTCCAGGCTCTGAGCCATCAGCCCAGAGCCTGACGCGGGGCTCGAACTCCCGGACCGTGAGATCGTGACCTGGCTGAAGTCGGACGCTCAACCGACTGCGCCACCCAGGCGCCCCAAGATTTTAACTTTTTAATCGAAGCAGTATACATTAGATTTAGCTTTTAATATTGATTATGATACAGTGTGCTTAGATATTGTCTTGTCAAACATTTTATTTAGGAAATTATGATGTGATGACTCCAATGGTTGATATACTTATGAAACTTTTTCGAAATATGGTGAATGTGAAGATGCCATTTCATCTTACCCTTTTAAGTGTGTGCCTCTGCAACCTTAAAGCATTAACTACTGCTAAGAAAGGGACTATTGATTATTATTTAACACCATCATTATCGACAACTTCCTGCTCTGGCAAGCGCAGTTTTGTGAGTACACTGTTTGATTTGTGTGGTTAAGTTACAAATCTAAGTGTGTGTTCCATGGATACAATTTAGAAATTCCTCCAGATAATATTGTCCAAATGACTTACTCGTATATTGTACCCATTACATAAGCATCACTGGATAAAAGAGAAAACCACTATGGAGGTTCCTTGTTTTGGGAGTGTTAACTTCCAAAAGTTTGGAGCAACCTTTCTCCAAAAACTGCACTACAGATAGCCATAAGGAACTAATAGCAACAGTCTGTCATCATGAAAGACTTAACAGAAAATCGCAAGATTCTACTGATGAGAAAATTACCTTTCCTTTTGACATTGATCTTGAAATTTTCTATGAACTACCAGAAGAGGTACAAAAAGAGGAATGTGATGATTAGCTAATATGTGAAAATATTTCCAGATATTGACAATAAAAAAAAATTATACATAAGCTACCAGTGTCCCCCCAATGTTTTGTTAAAGTATTTACATTTTCTTAGTTTTAAAATTATATTAAATTTTGACAGCAAGATTGATATAATACAACTACTGATTCTACAGTTGTAGAAATTAAGAGCATGGCAGTAGAGAAGCAGAGGCCAGTCATATTTTCAGGTGACTAAAAACAAAAGCCTATATATACGGCCATTTAGCACACCTCTAGTTACTAAATATGGGATGTTTTAGAAAATAATCATATTTTACTAAATTGTTCTTGCCTATAGTTAACTGTTAATTTAAAATGATTTTATTATTTTCTTTGTTTTAATGTTTAATTAGTAGAATTTCAGTAATATTTTCATTTACATTTAAGTTTAAAGTGAGAACAGAATACTGTTACAGAAATAATGAATTAGTACCCTCTTCAAATTACTTTTTTCCTGTGGCCCTTTTATTCCCTTTATTAACTGAAATTTAAGGAGGTATTTATTTTTTGCTTCTTTAAAAAAATTTGTTTTTAATGTTTATTTTCCAGAGACAGAGTGTGAGCGGGGGAGGGGCAGAGAGAGAGACAAAGCACAGAATCTGAAGAGGCTCCAGGCTCTGAGCTGTTGACACAGGGCCCGACGTGGGGCTCGAACTCACAAGCCGTGAGATCGTGACCTGAGCTGAAGTTGGATGCTTAACCGACTGAGCCACCCAGGCGCCCCTGTTTTTTACTTCTTAATCTGTACAATCAGAATTGTAAGACTTTATAGTGGTGTTAGGTAAATATAAGTGGAATACAGTAAATTTAGTGTGCCAGATCTCTTCCTTTACTTTTTTGAAGTTATGGTTGTATTGATGTTTCCTGAGTTATATTTGACTGTGAATACATTTTCATGGTGCTCAAAACTGGAGGGAAAATTTAAGTGAAAAACTTTACATAGAAAAATTATGCAAATTAGGGACACCCGGGTGACTCATTGGTTATCCAACTTTGGCTCAGGTCATGATCTTGCCATTCGTGGGTTCTAGCCCTGCATTGGGCTCTGTGTTGACAGCTCAGAACCTGAAACCTGCTTTGGATTCTGTGTGTCCTTCTCTCTGCCCCTCCCCTGCTTGCACTGTCTCTCTCTCTCAAAAATAAATATTAAAAAAAAAAACTTAAAAATTTAAAGACAAATTATGCAAATTAGAGCTGAAGATGTTTTTTGAATTTCTTTCTTTCTTTCTTTCTTTCTTTCTTTCTTTCTTTCTTTCTTTCTTTC